TTTCACGAATTAAAGTTCATATCATGTGCTGCATTAAACACTGCGCAGACATCATGAAATATGGGTTTCTTTACGAATGAGGATAACATTGTGCCATCTTGATCAACTATTTACCACTAGCCCTATCGTTAAATACCCATATTCAAGGCCTTAGTGACACCATGTTCAAATCGATCAATGAACAACAGGCTATTCGATAATCTGTTATGGCCAGGCATCCTTGAAGAGGTTTCAAGGATAAGGTTCTCCGGAAAAGGTGATAGGAGAAGGTTCCCGAGAAAACTCTGAGAGTTAGAGATGGAGGGGATGGCGTCATAACTATATTTGCCATAGTCTTAGTTGAGTTCAAGTACTATCTCGAGTTAGACTTAAGGAAGCTGGAGCTGCCACATAGTAGCTCTCCAGCTTCTCAATCTTTCATTCTTGTGATCTTTGATCTTGCAATCTAGATTTACATAATGTTATAATCTTATATTCTCAAAGTCCGATGTTCTCAGTCTTTCGTTATTCGTTACATTCTTCGTACTTCTGTTCACCCTGAGGTATCAGTCTTGATTGCTTCCTTGTCAATTCGACTTCTTCACTTCGTGTCTTTCGACTATTCTGTAGTTCTACAACCTTTGACTACCTGGCACCTCGCCAATCGAATTATATCTAAGTATCCTTCGTTAGCAACTATAATCATAATAGCTAATAATACCTTGCCTTCGGCAGACAGCGATCCCCAGTATCCTAAGCGCACGCCGTAACATAATCACAGTAGCTTTCCCTAGCGAGCATAATTCGAATGCTACTGGATCTGATGTTGCGCCACCGAATCAATGGAATTGTTCTAATGAAATCTAGGAATCTAAATCCTCATACACACTGAGCCTAAACTCCTATAACTAGTCAATACAGAGGCAAGAGAGCTGCTCAAGACCAGCTAAAATCTTGGCTGCTGATGGGAAATGAACATAGTCTTCATTTGGTCAGCGGATGGACAACAATAATTCGGACTTCAGGAATTTCAGGTTTGTCACAAATAAATACTTCGATAGATAAATGAACAGTTCAAAGATCAAAATCTCATCTGGAGTATCGGCGTGTGTCTTGGACATCAAATCGGGGCCGTATTTCCCAAAAGCCTTACCCTACAACACTATGGCCATAATTTCTCATAGATGTGTGGAGAAGCTTCACTTAAAGGTAAAATTTCCGCTTATTTAATCATCGTTTAATACATTATCAGCATCCTGCATAGAAATTAACTAAATATCCAACCTTCAAGGTATCTGAGCTCTAGAATTCCCTCTAAAAAACAACGACGAAGCGTGTCTGCTTTCAAAGCAGCTAGCCCTTGTCAGCGAGTTTGTAGCAATGCAAAACTATAACAGTTTAAGGGCTAGGCAATCCTTCATGATCCACTGCACAAGGATCAAGGGGAATGTGGCTAGGTCTCGCTGAGAAGTTATTAGCAAAGAATTATCATAAGTGGAGGCGATAGGCAATTTACTCATGTTAGCCTGACAGACCAGATAGGATGGAGTACCACTGCACTATTATCCTGCTGTAGGTGTTTTGGTTGATATTAAAGTGCTAAACAGTGCTCATTACTGCTTCACGTGATGCACGGGTAGACTCGGGTCCGAGTGAGAGTCATAGCATAACCGATAAATATCCACCCTAATCTCATCACTAGCCGAAACAAGCGTTGACAAGGAAGGCCACGCGGCAGACGGGTGATAATTTTATGCAAATGGATGAGATAAAAACACTGCTGTGGCAATGAGGAGAGTTGGGGTGCGTTATTGCCGGGGCTGGAAGAACAGCAATGCTGCTGGAGCAATTTAGGGTTTCTAGATATCTCCATTATGGAGATACAACAGTTGCGCGCGGTTCGGACTAGGCTGGTGATACATATTGAAAAACACTGGCTGTAATGTATAGGGTAGTCGACTTAATCCGATTCAGCCAACTTAAATTAAGCTTCGGAGTATAGAGAGGGCCACTTTCCTACCATACAATGCTGTAGGGCGAAGATTCCCGCCCTGGAATCCGCAAGATATATCGCTGCAGCATCTTGCTTTGACTTCCATCTCTCTTGACCAGGACAGCAGTCGAGAACTTGCATGCATTACATTGAGCTCTGTTAGTCACACATAATGAAGCAGTGAGACGTTTTGAGTAAGTTCGGGTAGGAAAAGCCGAGAGAAATATACCTGCACGGAGGTTGTCCCGAAGCGAGACGGTGCGAAGGCGTTATGCGTAGCATGAGTATTGGTATGGGTGGAGCCCTGGCACGGCGATTAATACCGTGGCTGCTCAGCCGGGCCCAGGCCGTGATAGGGGAAAATGGGTTTTTTCGGGTAGGATACGCTCTGTTCCCAGCACGGATGGAAGGGCTAGGACGAATACGGGCAGAACGACAACCCTTGCGGGACCCGACAAGGCTCACACAAGCTCAGGAACGCGTCGCTTAGTAAATGAGCAGGGACCAAGTTGCGACCGTCGATACAGCACTTGAGCGCAATCCGCTTGAAGCTCCAGCCCTACGCCTTGTCTGCCTCAGTCCACAGCGCTAGCGCCACTCCATCATTGGCCGGCTAGATGAGATCCACGGTTTTCTATCAGTGCAGAAGCAGACAGCGTAGCCGGGCAAAAGCACACTCCACAGCAGCTCGAATGCTCTCGAAGACACCTCATGACAGACAGTTCTGGCCTACCAGGTGGATTTTGATCAGACCATGATAGCCAGAGCCACCTTTCGAATGCTGCTGGAGCGACAAGATTTGCTTGATGCTTGGCACGCATAATACATCAGCTGGTAGAGCGCAAACAGTCCGGGCCCAGGGACAGAAAAGATGCTGATGAATTGCTGCCATCATAACATTGGGTGATTCCTGGCCGCGCGGGCCCTCGCAAAGCTCGACTCAACCTCCGGCGCCTCTCAAATGGCATCGAATGAACGATGGAGTACATGACCCGCACAAGTTGGATGAGGAGTTGGGCTATGGACTTGCGTCATGATGGAATGACGGCATAAACCCACCAACACGTTTATCATGACAAGTAGAGCTAGGGAAGCGTCTGGACATCCACGAGAATCTAAGCTCTTGTAATCTCTCTCTTTGCCGTACTTGACAGTCGTCTCGTATCGCCTTGAGCACATCAAATCCAAGAATTCCCTTCAAAGTTGCGAGCGGGCATCGACGCGACGAAGAATTTTGTTATCACGCTTTGCGCACGCGTCAGACACATCGAGCTCGTACCATCTGATGGATTGACCATGGGTTCCGGCGGACGGGACCGGTGGAGTCGGTGAGGACCATGAATCATGTTCGACTCGTCCCTCCTGAGATGATGATGATGATGGTCATGATGCTAGTAACTTTAAAAATAACGAGCAGTCCTAAATGGGGCTAGACCGTCAACTTTCCAGCCGCCAGCCGGCCCCGCTCTGCCTTCCGCGACGGCTGTTCTACGAGAGACTCGGCGAGGAAAGACTGGGCTGGGGTGTGATTATGATAGGCTGTCATTTGCTTCTCTTGCTCGGCTTCCCGGAATCTCCGTTGTGTCCTCGTGCATTACTCTATCTACAGGGGATGCAAGATCTCTTGTCCTCCACCCACTGGGGAACTCATTCCCTCGCCCTGGCATCGACTTTGGAAACGCAACTCCTCTTACGTGACACTTGACACTTGACAGCTATCACCTCTACCTCACGAATGCGCGCTGAACTGTACAGTTAAGCTCAAATTCAAGGCGTGGTATGGCAGTCCTTATCCTAGATACATTATCGCACCTTGAGCTGAGCTGTTGTCGAAAGCATATCGTCAAGTGGTGATTCATTGATGGTAATCGAATGAATTCCCTCATGGTAGCATTTCAGAGGAACAAAATACCGCCATCTTCTTGCAGGATCCATTGAGTCTACTGGTCTCCGTGGAGCTCTGGATTTTGCTTGGGATCGCCTAATCTCGGCATCTCGCCAAAGGAAAAGTCTCTGCAAATTGGCGTGAGAAATCATGGAAAACTCGTCAGTATATCCTACCCTGCTGATGATCACATCGGTCTTCTGGCTTGCCCTCCAAATTTAAGGTTGATAGAGACACCGCGAGTAGGAATGCTGCTAGTGTCGTCGAGTGGAGTCATCTTGACGAAACGCGTGCCATGAGGGATTTCGCTTAGCCATAACGTGACAAACGACAGGGGTACTGGGTCGTGGCGCGTTTAGTCCTTTGGGCCCTTGCGCTTCTACCTGAGAGTTACTCACGGTCAATCCCAGCACCTTCACCGCAGCACGCTTGTTTTTGCTCAGCATTTTATGCTTCGCAGATACCAGTTGCGGTTGGCAGTCCAACTTGTTGCCTGCAGAGAGTTTGTCCTCCTCTCAAAGCCGATATGTGTGTCATCTATATCCGATATCCGCAGCTGCTTAACCCACCAACAATTAATCTTCCAACGCTTGGACTCTCATGACTTCCGGCCGAGAGCTGCTCATAAACTCATCCATATCAGCCCTCATCCCAAGACTGTTACAAGGGAGAATCGTCATCCTGTAAGATGACTATGCGGATGCTGGTAGGAGCTAAGATGAAGCTAGGTGGCCTGCAGGTCTCATAAATTTGAAACACCATTGCCTAAGCAGCATCCAACCAAGTGCGAGAGTAGAATTCGTACCAGACTTACCAAGGATGAGGTATGAGATGCTTAAATTGTAGCCGCAGCCTGCCAGGTGCCTTCCCTAGCCGTGCAAGATTAAGGTTTGCATATATATATATATAATTCATACACCATGTTACTACGATTACCACTGCCTCTACTATTACTACTTCTCGCGGCATCTGTCGGTATCTGCCCGATCAATTGATTTTCCTATAAATATCGACCTTATCTGTCCTGACAGATTTAGAGTTTTTGTAAGTTCTAGCTCCTCCCCTCTCCGTCTTTGGTACTAAAGGAACCAGATCGTCAATGAGACCAGAATAAATTGGACGGACGAGTTACCGCAAGCCTGTATGAATTCAGCAAGCGTTGTCTTGGAGGACAAAGATGTTGCGCATCAGCCTAAATCCGCGATCAACAGCCACATTCTTGAGACTGACCAGCAACCGCTGCCGGAAGGCTCGGCATACGTGCTCGACCATGCTGCCGAACGCGCTCTCTGTCGCAAGTTCGACGTACGCCTACTGCCCCTCCTCGCCGTCATGTACCTCTGCAACACTCTAGACAAAGGGAATTTGGGCAATGCTAAAACCAATAACCTAGAAAAGAACTTGAACCTGACTGGCAATCAGTACAATATTATTCTAAGCGTATTCTATGTGCCGTTTGTGCTCGGTGCGCCTCCGATTGCTATGATAGGAAAAAAATACGGTCCTGCTATAGTCCTACCCGCTCTCATGGCATGTTTTGGGATACTGACACTCTTGCTCGGTACGTGGGTCCATCCTAGCATTCTCCACCCACCTTTCATCGTACGATTGGAGTGGCATCGAAAGGCCGTGTTCGAACTCAAGAGAAGTGCGAAGCTGACCGATCTAGTTGCTGCGACAAATTTTAGTGGCATGGTGGCCCTTCGATGGTTTATTGGGCTCACCGAATCGGCCTTTTTTGCACTTCTAGTCTATTATCTCACGACATTCTACCGCCGAAGCGAGCTCGGCCGTCGTCTCGCTATCACCTACGCCGCAGGGAACATGGCTAACGCCTTCTCGGGACTGCTAGCCTTTGCCATCTTTCGTATCAAGAATCATCGCTTTTACTCATGGCGGTATTTGTTCCTCATTGAGGGTCTCCTTACCTTCGGACTTGCCATTATTGCCTACCTCAACCTACCTTTTGACGTAACGAGCGCCCGTTTCCTAAATGAGGAAGAAAAAAAACTGGCATATCACCGCCTGCAAACCGATTCATCCTCCACTGTGAATGAACCCTTCAATCTGAAGGAAGCGGTCAGGATATTCAATCAGCCGACGACCTATGTTTTCCTTGCCATCGAAATGTGTCTCGGTGTACCACTTCAGTCCGCGTCGCTCTTTCTTCCCCAGATTGTGGCTAGACTCGGCTACTCCACGGTCAAGACCAATCTCTTCACCGTGGCGCCCAATATTTGTGGTGCCGTCGTCCTCCTGATCTTAGCATTTTCGTCTGATTTTACCCGGTGTCGCAGTATTTTCATCATTATAGGCTTTGCCTTGGCCTTTGTTGGGTTTACCATTCACGCCACAATTGATGTCGTCACTCACACCCGCATCGCCTATTTTGCCACCTTCCTAATATGCTCGGGCGTTTCTGTTCCATCGGCGCTTTTAAGTACTTGGTATAATAATAATGTTCCACATGAAGGTCGGCGAGTGATGTTGACCAGCGTGGGAGTACCACTCGCCAACCTTATGGGATTGGTCAGTAGCAATATCTTTTCACCTCAAACCGCACCCAAGTATCGACCAGCTTTGGTGACGACGGCTGCATTTGGGGGTACGGGCGCTCTAATAACAGCCTCACTGGCGCTCTTTATGACCCTAGATAATCGAAAGAGGAATAAGAAGTTTGGGAGAAAGTTGACGACAGGAGATGTCTCAACCGAGTTGTTGCAAGAGGGACCTGGCGTAGCTGAGTTTCGATGGTTTTTGTAGTATGATAAGATTAATGACGGCTCGGTGATTATTACGTGCGGTCCTGACAGCCACTAGACCCTCGTGTATTTTGTAGGAATATTAATTAGATCATTATACTAGGCTGAGAGTTTTAATGAAAGCCTCACCCGCCTCCATGGGCAATTTTCCCTTTGAGAATTATGATAGCAGCCGAGAGGATACTGGATGGTGGATAAAGGTATCAATGTTGTTGGTTCTCACCGTTACATTTGTGGCTTGAACGATCTAATTCCGAGACTTGTGCTGCTTCGCCAGGACCTTGGTCATGATGAATGTAGTGACGAAGGTACAGGCGCTGAGTCCTGCTGGGTAGTTGCACCCCAACACGCTCCTCGCCCGCTCTTATTTGGCCAGCCACGTTGGTTGCGGTAGGAAATACACTACAAAGCCGACCTTTTACACTGAACAATTCAGACCCGTTCCGCCCACGCACTCCCTCCCATATGTTTCATCCAAAGCACCATCCGCTCTAACGTCAGCTCACGTTCATACTCGGGTTTACTCTACACGGTAAGGCTAGCATTGCTCATCCCGGATTCAGTGAAGGCGGATATGAAAGTCAGTGTTGGGTACGCAGCTACCTAGCCAAGACTCATTGATATGTGAATTATCGAGAGCTCTAATCATAACAGCAAATGACAATATTTCCAAATTCCAGTCTGTGCCACATGACCTCTGGTTCGATTCTTGAATTTGTAGGGCCTATCGCCCCTCTCCATGAGCGTGGCTATCGATTGCGGGTAACCAACGGCCTACGCCTTTACTCGAGAATCCTCAGCACCCACTTCCCCTGAAGATTTCGTCAACGCGAGGTTTGCCGCGCATTCGGGCCTTTGTGCCACGTCAATTTTACCGCCACTGGCTGCTACGACCCGTCATTCGAGCCCTATCTTGACTATGACTTGTTCTAGGCTACGTGATTGTGTCTCCAATGCCAAGAGCGATTAGTGTCATTTCTCGGAAAGCTTTACACTGGGAGCTATGGTATCCATTAAACATAAGGACTCTGCCAGCTATTCATGATTACGATTAGCCGTCTTCGATCAGCTTCTTCAATCACTGCTCCACTTGGTGCTGGTCCGAACACGCCCGTGAGCGTGCGTCATGGCTTTTAACTAGCTTCACTGCCCTTTGATCCTGGATTCTGCACCAACACCGCCTGGGTGCATAGGAACTACTGAGCGCACTGCAACGTCTTCTGTGCTCTTTGCGTCAGCAGGGCCCGTATGCATGGAGCTGTAGCTTCCCGTCCGAGGGGAATGACAAGTCATAGCTTATCAGACCGCTATGCATGTCTTTTTGTAGCATTTTTTGATGAAATACAGCTGTTAGGTGAATTAGAGTAGAGGTGCGACACCTCATCTACTCTAATATTGCCCCATGATCTCATGAATCTGGCCACGGCATCATGAGAGCTTCTCATCTTTCGAGGCTACACCCAGCCCTGGTGCAGTTTACCGTCGAGTTAACACGAATCCAAGACCAGCCCTACTGTTTGATATCGGCAAACCGAGTAATATCTGCAGTCTACGCTGGGAATGAAGACTGTATCTAATTACCACGCTCCGAAATAGACATTGGTAATCACGCCAGAGGTAATCAGGAACATTCAAGCCATCGGGACTGTCGTAGCAGGTATTTGTAGTACTCGAGAAAGTAACAAGTATCTTTCAGATATGAAAGTCTATTGGAAGATTGGGTATCCACGGGGCGTAGTAGTTGCTCAGCATGAGGGCGAGAGCGATAAAGGAGGAGAATGTACAAATACTTCATTGATCCTACGTATGGTCCGGCACTGATCGAAATACAAACTACTATGTTCTCCATAAATGTCTATTGTATTTTACATCTCATTAACAGCATACGATGGGGGACTATTCTCAACGCCTGTCAGTGGAGTCCCCGACGAACCTCTAGCTCTCACTGTAGGGTCTCCTGAGCCGAGACTAAGTAATACCGTTCTCACTTTGTTAAGGATACTCAATCGCTTTCGCGGTTTCTATCGTCTTCATCCCTAAGCACATCCCCCTATCACCATTATCATGAAGCTAACCACGATCAGATCAGATGGTACGGTCGAAGCCCTACTCGTCACCAACCCTTGATCTTGGAGGAAAAGCCATCCGATGAGTTTCCGGGGCGTACCTAGCACCCGATACGGCGATGGTGGATTGGATCAAGTCGGCCTTGAATGTTGTAAAGAAGGGAGATGTAGATAGATGTGCGCACCTCATGTGGTCCCGGTGTCTAGGCCTCGCCTGGATGGCGCTGCAGGTTTTTGGAGACCTTTTCCCGCGCACGCAGCTTCTATTGCTACCAATTTTATTTTTTTGGGCAGAAGGTCCCGTGGAAAAGGTGGCTGAATTCCACGGGTGATCACTGAGCTGAATGGCTATTCATCACGGGCTATACATCAATGATCTTTGAAGTAACAAAAGAGGCAAGGAGCACTATACAAGATGTGGCCTGGGCCAGAAAGGAGCCCAATGTGCTAAATAGTCATAAAATAAATTAGTACAATAAAACATCACAAACAATAGCATATGATTGTCTATTCTGTGACGTGGCCTGTTCCATGCACGAGGCGGATTCCTCGGTAATATCTAACTTGCGTGCAATCTCTTGAAATCTAACGCTTTACCCTCCTTGGACTTCATGGTGAGCAGTAATTACATGTCACATGACTCCTTACTGGGGATTGAGAATAGAAGAGCCGAAGCTGCTAGCTAAATCCATGCGATTTGGCCCACACGCAGATAGAAACATCCTTTTGTTCATGGAGAAATCAAACCCGGTAAATTAAAACAATAATTCCAAGGAATTTGCTCATTCAGGCCTCAGTTCTCTCATCTAATCGACGCCCATATCATCTACGTCATCTCTTTCACTCGACCACGAGCTTCAACACAAAACATCTTCCTCAGCTTCTATTCGAGAATGGACACTGTCACCGTACATGAGGCGTGTGGAAGATTTCTCGCTCCTACGACCTGTCGTGCCAGTATACCATAAACTCTAGGTTCAACGGTAGGTATTAGGCGCTTTTCTTGGCTGGTAAGGCATGCCCATATCAACCCATTCTTTTGTGAACCTTAGGTGGTGATAGCCAAAATTAAGCTGCACAAAGGTAGTTATCACTGGAAGTGAAGAAGGACCTTCAGCTGATTTTACTATGAGCTGAAGAGGAACAGAGCACTGTATGAAAAGTATTTCTAGAATTTACTACCGGATAGATGATACTAGAATATTCCATGATACAGTTTTGGGAAAATAAGTTGAGAGTTTAGCTATCTTAGATTTGCATTTGAGAAGATTCACTTCTTCTCGGATCTTCATAGTTTGAATCTCCAAATATTAGAGGCTTTGCTTGATTTATGCTCGATCATCCTAGAATTTTGAGAAAATACATCTTCTGCAAGCTTGACCTTAACCACAGCGAATTCATCTCGGCGTCTAATTTCAAAATAATTTAACCAGAAGTAGTAATCACATCCCTTTTCAGGTATCTGCTTCTTTCTCTCTGACTATGTAGTGGGCAGCTACTTGGCCCATGTAGAGCCGGTGTCGCTGAAGTGTCCTGAGTCTCTTTATTTGAACCTTAATGTTGGTAAAACACGAAGTAATACAAACTGGTTGCCGTCACGAAGTCGGTGAATAACGTCAATTAACTGGTATCTCGATATACATAAAGCGTTGTCTCTCCTTGTTCCTCTACTCCAATCGCCTCACTAATGAGCTAATTCAGATCCCTGTTAGTGTCCTAACAACTACCTGAATACCGTAATTAGATAGAACAATTCATACCGCCCAAATATGATCCATTTACCGACACTTAGAATGTTTTATCAGCTATCTTCCTGCGACATCTGGTCTGTATCTTGTGCGCATTTTATTTCACTAATTGAACTTTGGACAAGCTCAAACCCTTTCTTGTGCTTGCAAGTACGTCTGTGGGGTGTATGTATTTACACCAAACACTTAACCCTCGTTTATAGATTCTTACCGGAGAGATTCCCTCAGTTTATTGATAATTCTTGCGCACTAGCACCGCGTGAATTACAATCGGGTCAATCTGTATTCGGATCGGCGATCTCCTAAGCTAAGAAGATTGGGTGTCCAAGCTATTTGCACACTGTTTGAGAGTTCGGCCCAGGTGATGCACCATTGCACCATCCAGCCATGACGGTTTCTGTAGTTTCGTCTTCACTGTTTGAATTCAAGAGGACGAAGGCTGAATACCTATCAGCGGTTTCCTCTACGAACCTAAGAGTGAAAATTTTCCTTTGAGCCGAGATTTAGTCATAAACAAGGGTGGGTTGAAGTTTATTTGATTGACTTTTAGCTTGAACAAGTTGTGCTCAGTAATTTGTTCGAAAAATCAGTCGACATAGATTTCAAAACTGTAAGAAAGTCGAACAAAAGCTCATCACCACCAATACAAGATTCGCGAATAGACTTAGGTCTGTCTAGGGCAGTTTTCAAACATCCGACATCTCTCAAACTCTCTATATATTTGCGACGAAGTATTTCTCAGTCGATCATACATCTGCGACCCACCTCCACACTCGTCACACCCCTACCTACACACGCTCTAATGAGGAAAGTTATGATGACAATAACCCAACGATACGATATAAAGGCGCAAGACTAGAGAAACAATGAGATCTAGGACGACATTTATATTTTGGAGTCAATGAGGATGTCAAGGGCTCGGGCGTGTGGTGGCCGAGGCTGAGGAAGAATCTGTGCTATGGCGTGTATCCAGGGGGTTTCTGGATGGTTAGGCTTGGTATGATTCAACAATTAGGTGAGGTCTGAGTTGGTTTGATCATTTAGGTGGGACGAGGCACTTATACTTTATGGTAGTTAACCTGATCCGGCCCGGCCCCACTCGTGCTTAAACTCCAGTAGGTGTGCGATGAGTGTCATGCACCTAGCACGTTAATGAACAAAACAAAACTTTTGAAAATCAAGTCGTG